AAAAAAAACCCTCTAACAAACAAACAAAAAAAACACGCCATTCCTTCTGAGGTGTCCGAGGTTTCTTCTTTCATGTCGCCGCAGCGCCCTGAGTCGACAACCGGGTGTTCGGGGTACAAACCTGAGGAGTGGGGTTGGACATTATATTTTTCCCCTTTGTGGCATGCTTGGTTGTGTTTGAATATTTTTAAATTCTCACCCTACCCACCCTATCCCTGCCCCTCCCACCCCAGCCCTCCCCACCCCATCCCCTTCTTTCCCAAACATGTCCTGTCTGTTGACAAGGGAGAACCTGTTTTCGTCCCACTATTTTCATTTTTGATTTTTTTTTTCGTTCCACCAACGTTTGTCCCACCCTTTCTCGTCCTACTTTGATCCAATTATTTATAGGCTTTTAGGTTACTACAATTGCCACTCCATTTCCAAAATGGTTTTACAATGCACGGAGAAAATTCGTCTTGTCCATAATTGCTTCGACAAGGAGGAGGAGGTAGGATTTCATACGGGATAAAAATTTGTGTTGAAAGCTGGCAAAACAGTCCTTATAATAGTATTCTTGTAATAAATCCAAGTTCAAACGTTGCGCATTGTTTACAGCCAGTCTGCCACTGTTTCATGAAATGGTAGGCTGACATTTCCAGCAAACAGCAGAGATAAAGCACGGTATTTCTCCCAATTTCACCACACCTGCATATCAGAGAGAGACAGAGAAACAGAAGGAGGGGGGAAAGAGAGACAGAGAGAGAGAGAGAGAGAGAGAGAGAGAGAGACACACTCACTCACACACACACACACACACACACACACGCGCGCGCGCGCACACAGAGAGAGAGAGAGACAGAGAGAGGGACAGAGAGAGGGACAGAGAGAGGGACAGAGAGAGAGACACACACACTGAGAGATAAAGACAGAGAGAGGGAATGGGGGAGACGCTGGATGGTTTTATGGGTATCGACTGGTAATCGGATACATTATACTGCAAATGTGGGACGAAAACTGGTAAAAATCGTTGCTGAAGAAAGTGGGACGAAAACGGGTAAAATCGTTGCTGAAAAAAGTGGGACGAAAACGGGTAGTGATACGAACATGTGGGACGAAAACGGGTGCACCGTTTGACAGGACGGAGAGACCAAAATGACACGTTGCGACGTCGACGTTAAAAGCTGAACTTTGCGTGTTTTTAAAATGGCGAAGTGGCTGACTGACTTGTTAGACAGACAACTAGGTTAGGTTACTCAACAATCCAAACTTACAAAAATAAAGAG